CGTTCCAACCTGTTATTTATCCTCAGCCACCCACGATATTACGAAAGTTTTAACCTAGAAACTTTTCCCATCTGGCTGCGTAACGCAACCGCCACGCGGAGACGAGAATCCCTAGATCCTCTTAGCCCTCTGTCGTCTGTCATCCCGCAAGACTTTCGTCAGGCGTTGCCTTACAAATCAAACAGGTTTAGTCCCGATGAATCACTGCCAGATGACGACTCCGTCGTTTCCTCCGCGGCGTTCCACGCCCTCTAGACAACTCCGTTTCGCGCGCGTTCCCACGTTTCCACGCGACCCTGTGCAGCATGGCGCGCATCACGCCTGCGATGATAGACGCAATTAAGGACCGTTGGACAAGAGGGAAAGCGACGAAGGTTACGCCAAGGTCCACAGTATTTTTACCCATCGTCCCTCTTTCGATATCTCGAGCTCTTTCGACTACTCCAGATCGCGGTAAGAATTTATCGCCGTTCCGATGCGCTCGTGGTCATCCGGTTAATAATTTATGGCCGCTTCGACGTTTATTTCAAGCGCTTTTTTCTTTATATCAGATAACACTTCCCCTCGAGTAGAACTCAACACAGTGGAATTCCTACGAAGACGTTTGTGCCTCGACGTGTTCGCGTCTCGAGAGTGAGTTAGCGGTTGTTTAATCTTCCGATTGGTCTAGCCTGGAGTTCCAACCTTGTGTCCGATTATAGATACAGTTTCGCTTGTTCCTTGTCGCGATTGGACGAGCAGTAGCCATGGAGGCTACTGGAAAGGAGATCGAAGAATGACAGTGAAATATCAGGTTGTAGAGAGTAGTGATAAATCTAGATTATCGGTAGTGTAGGAATATACTTCTGTGTCCGATAAAAATTCCTTTTTTAATTCCTCCTGCGTTTTTATCGTCGAATACTCCTTCCGGTTATGTGATCTGCTATTTCCGTCATAGTAGGGACATCTATGGTAAATAAACCGAGTATACCGAGGTAATAAGGCATACTCGTTCAGCTAAGATAAATTTATTAAATTAAAATTTGTACCGAGTCAGTCGTTATATGGGTTATAATAAATAATTCTATTTATTAACTCTTGGAACTCCGGTGGCGCCACTGCGGCGAGATTACTAAGCTGCAATTTACTACTTGGTTCCGTTTTCACCACTGGAAATGAGAAGACCGAGTAAGTCTGCTTTATTAATTCTTTTCTTTCTTTTTTAAATAATATTTTTTATTTCCAAATGCTTTCCGTTACGAAGATCTTTTTGGATTTACTGATCGATTTAATTAAAAATGCACGGAGTGCAAAAGGTTAAAATAAAATTCTGAGAATCGGAATACTCGTGTTTATAATTATCATTTATCACAACCGGAAGGAGTTAAGTTATGGAGTATAATACCAGCAGAGATCCTTTTTCTGTTGCCGTTTTTGTTCTTTATTCACCTTGCGGTTCTACGCTGGGACCATTAGCGATCCAGAAAGAGTCAATCGATCGTCAAGCATAGCTGTGATTTTTCTCTATTAGTCGTGGTCTCGGTCGATGCGATAACTAGGTGAAATGCTCGATGAAAATTAGATTTCTAGATCGTAATTCGCCTCGCCTCTTGTATCGCTATGCGATCTTAGGCCCATTGAAACAAGGACGCGTTGCTCAATCGACGTTGCCGGAGAGTTCACCATGGCAATAATCGCGAAATGAGCACGATCATTTGTCCCAATTCCATTTAATTGCTCGACGATCGTTGTAGGGGCATCGAGCTGACATGCTTGATTTAAGGCTAACGAACGTCCAAGCAAATCCCTAATATCAGATCTTCATGATCTCTGGCATTCGGAAATGCAGCATTAATGACCAGGAGCTATCATTTTTGCTCCTCCACAATCTCATAAATGGATTGGTAATAAAAAGTAAATGCAACTTCTGATCTCTAGAATCTGATCTCTATGTTAATCGCTGTTTTATAGTATACCATGAATTATTTAGCAACTTCTTTTTTCGAGCACACATAATTGATAAATAATTATTTAGTGTCATTTGCTACGAGCTTTTACACAGCTTGATTTGCCAGCAAGAAATGGTGTATTTCTTCATGGTGTACGTCAACAATTTAAGATATTGTGTTTACATTACGATAATGGGAACTTGTTCTTTCAAAGTATTCGAAAATTGAAATATTAAATTGCTTCGAAATTAATTTTTTGGTTATTCTTTATCCAAATGTAAAAGATTCAACATTTCGAGATGACGTATACGTAATATATGCCATAAATAATTATTTCACGTTACACGTTATGAACTGTCATAGTCCTTATTTTGAAACGAGGCTGCTGAAAAGTGGACACTTATTTCGTTCACAAATCGGTTATTATTTCGAATAATAAAGAAACGGTTACAGCTGGACTATGAAATACCGTAGGTGGCACATTTGCATGAATTCTCTTAATGATTCTTTCAAGCTAAATCTAATCTCAGAACAGAGTATGCATCCACCTCGTAGCCTAAGTTACCATTCATCCGCGACCCGCCTACTCGCAGTTGCCATAACGACTTACATTATGCGTTCGTAATCTCTCAATGGGACAATCGATCCTTCAGTGTGACAAGAAAACAAGAGTAATCGGCGAAAGTCCTCGTACATACGAAAAGATCACACTTGCAGCTATTAAACGCTAGACCTAAAGAATCCACTGAGAGGACAGGTTAAGAAGGTCCAGAATTGTCCTTCCAAGTGTCACGAAGACAACACGGAGAATAATTAACAAGAGCTTCGTACGGTATCCAAAGATAGACCGCAGAGAGATAAAAGTGAAACTAGATATAGATATATCCTCGCAGATGCTTAAAAATGGACTTAAAGAACTTGGTGCAAGGATAAGATGAGGATTTTCCAAGTGTCATAAAGGCAAAGACAAAGATAGAAAGAGGAAGAACTCTAGGACTCTTGCAAGTGTCAAAAGATGGACTTAAAAAGTAGTACACTGAGATAGTAGTGCACTGAGAAGGTTCTACATTATGGTTCTAGGTACCATAAAGGTAACACGATGGGTGTCGAAAGATGTCACACGTAAAGAAAAATAAGTATAGTACCTTTACAATTATCAGAAGATAGATGAAAGGACCCAGTGCAAGATCAGAATATCTCTAATATTAGTAAGACAGAGTCAAAAATTTATCAGGTATCTACCTATAATTATAATTAACTACAACAATCTGTAGTTTGAATTAAAATCCACTAGCAGTTAGTAAATATTTGAATACTCCTACGGTGCATAAACAATTTTAGAATAAGATATATTCTTATAGTTACTGTTGCACAAGAAGACAGTGCACCCAAAAAGACCAAATTGCGACTTGTTTTCATTACGCGAAGCGATGAAAGCGATTGCGAATCACTGGCTACTTCGTCCCAGTCTGCCAAGTGGATCGGTTTCTCGAAAACGTATCTCCTCCGGTTTTTGCCTTCGTTTTCGTCGATGCAGTTATGTCAAAGTGAAAGCCGCCTGCTTAACGGCAAATAGGAAGCACACGGTGATCTCCACTGCGTTAACGACGAATCCGCGGTGTAATTAAGCGGACACGTGAACAGGGGGCCCCGGCTTACGCGTCGATCTCTGCCGGAAACCCCAACTTTCGCGAGCGTGGAACTACTGACCGGATGCCACGTAGAGCGACGTGAGAACTCGAGGATCGCTGGCAGCAGAATGCTACTGCGTCCTTTTTCCCCTCTTTTCCTCGATTATCCATCGGCCGCTGTCACATAGATTCGCGTGATGAACGATTTCTTTCTCGGCTTTCCGCGTTAGGGGATCGGTTGGAACGTTGCCGTCCCCCTTCTACCAGCTCTGCCCTCCACGAACGAACAATAATAATCTACATCCCGTCTGCCATCGGCTACGCAGGTTGGAACGTTTCTCGGAAGTGTCAGAATATTTCAGTTGCTCCTTTGGCTGGAAGAAAGGTACCATAAATCGGATCAACCGGTAGCCACAGTTTGTTATCTCCGGTGTCTAAATGTCACAAGTTGTACGGGAATATTCCCCGTTGTCGATTTGTGAAAGCTCCCGCTTCGAATAACGTTAGTCACGGAGCCGATCATTCATTATAACCGAGTCTCACGATCCGGTTCTCTTTCCTCCGATCCTACCGATCGCCAGTGATTCCGTTTCAGCAGCGCGACTGTTTTCCCCTCCGTCGACTCGTTGGCTGGTAATTATCGCGCACGCTCGATAAAGTGGAAGGAAAAAAAGAATCTCGTTGATAAATATTCATGTCTGGCAAACGCAAGGACTCCGATCCTGACGCGTACGCTCGCGACCACGTGAACCGCTATTCCACGATGATTCACGAGAAGTTATGCCGATCATGTCCGTTATATAAATTCCCCGGGTATGCAGCCGCGACAACGCGCTAATCGATCGTTATTCGTGTACTCGGAAACGCGAGTGTCCATTCCGTCAGCCTCTTCCTCCTAATTGCTCTCGCCGACGAGGATAAACCGTTGCCACGAAACGATCTCGCGTCTTCTCGATTCGCTCGAATCGATACCTGCTCGAGTCACGCGTGAAGAAATTTCTGATTATCCCGTCTACTTTCACGTATACCCTGAGATAAAGACCGTGATCAAAATTCCACTTTATTGAGGCCCGGTGGTACACTTAGCCCGGTGGCTACGCTCGATACCTCTTAAATCGTCTCGATTCCAGTAATTGATACCTAGACACGTATGTTGCGTCTCTCGCACGTAGCCAGAGATATAGACAGTTATGAAAATTCCGTCTCACCGAGACCCCCCGTACACGTAGCCCGATAATCGAACTCGTGAGTTCATTAGAACCCGAGATTTAACGTCACCTGGATTCTCTTAATCGATAGTAAAACTCACGTCATTTACTGTGCGATCAGCTACGTCTTCTTCCGCGTACACCCCGAGACAAAAACCCCGGGGGAAATTCCATTTGAGACCTAGTGGTACCACGCTTTGTAGGCGAATTTGATAGGAAAAAAGGGGACTCACGATGTTCTTCTAAGCTCCGATCCACCGTGCCAAGTATCTCCCTGTGTTCAGACGCGTGCTACTCGGCGCTCATCTACGAGCAAATCACACACGCGCGTTTTAGTCCTCTCGGATAATTGGTCGAACGGACGCAAGGGTCGATTACGGAACTGGTATCACCGAGACGTGGCCATAACACGCGAAGGCAGCTCGCGGCCGCGCTGTACCACTCACTGTGTCCCGCTGCACTTGGACGACGATGAAGAAACGAGTAACCTCCCGGTCCGCGTGACCGCGGATCTTTATATCGGTGGATCCTACTGGCCCTGCGCCAGTGTGTCCCACTCCCTGACGCGCGACACCAGACGACAGCAGGAGGCCCAACACGCCGCACAGTCTGCAACGTAGTTGTGCAGGCTCTACGCTCCCGGGCTGGCTATAGGGGACCGTGCTACTCGCGGCTCAAGGGACAACAGGCCGAGTGGATCGTGTGTGTCACGAGGTTCTCCTACGACTGCCGCGCCAGACGATCACGTTGTTCCGCTTGCACGCCTCTTTCACCCTTCCTTTTTGCGCCCGACACGAGCCCCTCCCCTCTTCCGCGACGCCGGAATCGGTCCCCCATGGCGGGAACAAGCCGCGATCGCAGGAAAACCGCAGCGATTTCCACCTCTCTGTACAGCGTGGCTGCTCCTACGCGCACCTTACGGTCCTCGTGTCTTTTCTCCGCTTTGGGACCCTCCGTGAGTGTCAGAGAGACCTGGATCCTTTTTATTGTCTATTTTCCAGTGGATGTAAATTAGGGGGTTGAAATGGTCTTATCTAGACTACGCGGGGTGTGTAAATTATGTTTGAAATAGAGGCTCTGGAGTCTAAACTTCTCTTGCTTTTGAGAGACTTGAATTCACGTAATTGGAATTTTATGGGAAAAAGAATTTTGGAAATCATGGTTCACAGGTCAGGGATTATTAATCGTGTCAGAAGATTGGTTTAGTAGTACTATGTTGATTTCCTTGTCGCTAGTGTTGATTTCTATGCCACGTGACATAATAGAGGCCCACAATAATTTATCTTTGAATGTATTTCAAATATTTACAGAAATATTAAATTAATCTATTAAATGCTAAATTTAAAATAGTTTCAGATATCTATGTCTTGATTTCGGTTTAATCAAATTAATTCCCAGTTAGTTACAACGGTGTTCAAAGTGGCCTAAAAGGGAAACTGAGGAATTTCGTGAATCTTAATGATTCGACTTGAAGCTTTTACGTTTGCGTCGTCATCGTTGCCCAGGCGCTCGTGCGTCGGAAAGAAAAAGTTTGAAGAAGTGGCCCGTCGTTTTGTTTTGTTTTGTTTTTGCGTCACTGACACTTGGCAGCTAGTCTACGGAATTCGTATTTTTATGCGACCGCCACGATATGTGTTAATAGTATTCAAGGCTCCGGAGCGCAAACTGTGTCCTTTTCTACGATGTTTCGTCGGCATTGTGAACGCGTTCATACCAAAACAGATCTTCTATTTACATATTATTTATTCGGATCACCGACGGATTTAATTTGTATTAATTAAAAGGCACATTTACAAATTTCAAGTTCAACCGGTGCATATGGAAATTATAATATCGAAACTGAAAATTGAATTTGTTATTCATACCGGCATTTTAATCGTCCAAGCCAGTGGTTTTCAACCTTGCTTCCTAGTACACCACTGGTTTATATGTGGTGTAATCACGTACCATTTTGCGGATTGGTATCTCTCCGTCGTGGTATACTTCGTTGGGAATGATTTCAAAATTTTATCCAATTTGGATCAGCTTGCTACTTGCTACATCCTGAGAACTACTGATCTAAATAATTTTGTATTCATGTAAAATCTACTATTAAACGTAAAACCTGTTTTTAGGAATGATCCTTTTTAATTGGACGTTTCAAATTTAATTCGATGATTTCATATGGCGACAGAAATGATTTCGTTGTATACAATTCAGCATCGTATAATATGTCGGGAAGCTAATTTTAAAGAATGCTAATCGATTGTAGACGTAAAGCTTGTTGACTGGCGAAGGTGAGTAAGCACTGCACCTTTGAGAAATTAGCATGTCGACGGTATGACTCTTAATCCCCGATTATCAGTGTTACCAAACACTTTGGATGTTATTCACCCAGCATTGACGAGATACGGGACTCGCACTGTCGAGTTAACGATTGTCCTCAAATCGGTTAGCTGTATCGCTAAATACCACGTACGTATTCTGAACGCTTTTATGCATGGTCCTAAATTAAACGAAAACAAGATCTTTTTGGTCGGTATTTACGTCAGTTCTCTTAATTAAGCAAATCAGTATCGACAGTTGTATTTTATACAAAGGTAAACGAGCTATTAAGTGTCATTACCAAACAGGATATCAAGCTAAATAAGGAAAGAATTGATTTAGATCAATCGATATTTACATTTCTTACGGTGTAAATATTTATTATACAACCTTTAATGTTTACGTAATTTACATTACGATCATTCCAATTTAATATGTGTTAATACAGCATAATCGTGTCATCGTACCTTTCAATTCGATGGTATTCGAAGCATTTCCGTCCAAACTCTTGAGGAGACTCATATGGAATATTCATTTATAATTTATTGTATAAGTATATTTTTTGAATAACAGAAATTTCCTTCTATACTTTTTTAAATTGTTTAAAAATTGTGTTAAACTACGTCTATTTAATTCAGTTTAAGAATTTAGTAGTATTGTTTCTAACGCTGATTTCAGTTACGTGAAATCGGCTTCTGGATAGCTTTGATTGTAATCATCATCTAAATTAAGTCATTATTCAGTGAACATATTTGCAGCCATTATTTTTTCGATACAGTCACTTCTTTTTTGTCTAGTATCATGGTTCTATCCTTTAGATGCGTAATGCTGACTTGCATTGTCATGCATAACAATACTTCAGCTGACTTTTGTACTATCAGTACAATCGATATCAATAATGTGGTATTTTTAGTACAATATTTACAAGCAAAAAGAATTTCTTCTGTTTAGGATACTTATATCAAATTATATAGGTCAGTTCCTAACCCTTTTGCCATAGTGATACGTCAAGTGTGCACTGTTATGGTCAGACAATAAGATTGTGTAAATGATTAAGTTTTCATTCAAGTTATCTCAAGTTAATATACAAATACAAATTTTGTCATGTCCAAATTTACGTGGAAAATTTCGTAGAAGAAAATACATCTAGACATTGTAAATTAGAGAAACAATGGTGCGATTACTTCATTAGAAATTATTATCTTAAATCGAAGGAATTAGCAACTCGGCTGTTGATTAATTTGAAATTGTAACAGTCACCTTCGCTATAGAGCGAGTTAATCGACCATAATCACCTTCACCGGCGGTATAATAGAAATTCCTTCAAACAGGATCCCAAACCTTCTAAACGAAGAATTCCCGCACTACCAGTCATTATTCCCGTCGATTAAATAATTCCTTTTTCAATTAAATAATTCCCGCAATTTTTTCGATAATACCATCTATGCAACGCGATACGATCGCGTTCCTCGTAAACGGAAACGGAGCTGGAAAAACCTGCTTTTTACCCATCTATAACGCGGTGACTCCATGAAGCAGGCATTCGCAACAGGTCTCCTCTCCCGCGTGGTGGCGCGCCGATATTTTTGCCCGCGATCCACGGACTTGCAAGTGGCCCTGTTACGTCGCGCGACGCGTGCGCTCCTTTACGTAAATCCTTACGTGTCTCTCTCGTTAGGGCCGCGTTCCTTCGCCCGTGTCGGCTTAACGTCTCAATCGAGCGAGCACGGACGGAGAAGGGAGCGAGGAGAGACACCGTCGAGAGACGTAAAATCGTCGAACATTCCACGCGCACGCTTATTAGGCGACCGTGTCAGCTTCGGTAACGAGCAAGGAAACGGAGATACGTCGGACCCCTGGAACAATCATGCCACTCAGGAATCACCTTGCGTGAATGCGTGCTGCATGTTAATTGACGTGGCTGCTGATCTCGGTTAATAATTGTCGCCTGGTTATTCCCCTTTTCCTTCGTACTTTTTTGTCCCCGTCTCGTAGCTGTCAACACGTAGGCGAGGTAACGAGGTAACACTCGCCTCTGACGGATGGAAAGGAAATGGGTTGGGTTGACGTTTCTTCGCATTTCGTGGGCTTTTAAAAAACAAAGTTTACGAGGTGTAAGATAGACCGGGAGCCTTGAGACTTCTGGCTACCGGAGCTTCTGGCTCAACGCGTGCTTTTTATGGTCGTGAAAGGAGAGCTTATATTCGTAGATTGTACTGCGAATTTAGGTTTCGAAGGTATAGGGTAGATGTATAGAGTAGATATGAGTTGGATAGAAAGTAAATGGTGTCAATGAAAAGATAACGGTATATAATTCTACTCTACTGTAAGTAAGGGTCATTTCTATGTGTCATAATTTAGTAATTGAAACTATCCGCTATTGTGAACGAACCCTTGCGGAAGCGCGCGCATCCACCAAATATGGCCGACGTGGCAGTGTACGCGTCGGACGGTTCTCAGGCTTCTATTAATTTTTACTCGTGCCGTGTGATAAAGGTTTCGGGGAAGCATCAGAAAGTATCGGAATCGTCGTTCGGATCAGTGGGGAAGTAAATTTGAACGTCATCGAAGATGCAGGTACTTATTATTTATCGAAACATGTTCAAGTTCTTATGGTTATCGCACGTTGTACTTGTAAATTGCGTATGCAACTTCTGCAGATTTAAACAAATTGTTGTGTTATTGTTAATCAGAAATAACACGGTTTGTTAATTCTACGTTGCATTTCGTGTAATGGAGTGTATTTTTAGACAGCACGTGCGCAGATCTCGATCGGTGCACGAAAGAGCGCGCGAAAATGTTTCGCCATGCTGGTCACGTGCCATAAACACGACGTGCGCGGAAGTTTGGCCCACTTGTCGCGCATGCGTTCACGAAATTTCCATCGCCACCGTAGATAAGCATCGTCGATATATATACTTCTCTACGAGGTCGTTTTCTTCTTATGTTTTAGTCTACTTTCAGACTTCTTGAAATCGTGTGTCTTTAATATTTCATACACCATTGTAGACTACGTTTGCATTATTCTCGGTGATTCCTTTTTCAGAAATGTACGTTGAGAGAGAAAAGAGTCAAAGAAGGAACAATTTTTATTAATTTTATGAAGTTATACTGTTTTTAAAGCGAAGGCACTGTTTTGTCGCTATATTTTATTATTGCTGGAGAGTTACGCGGTATGGTGCTACAGCGAGTGTAAAAGGTATTCATGCAAAGATTAATTTCACACAAAATTTAATCTACAGTTTGTCAATAAGATTATAGACTGTTTCAGAGGTTTGTAAAGTAAAAAATCAATTATTTATACTCGTTATTTTGTAATTAGAATTTAGTGGAATACTTTTTAAAAATTCGCTTTTAGTTTTGTCAGCATCCATTTCTAAATTTTATTTTGTATGGGATATAAAGAAGT